TAAATAAATAAAATAAATTGTCAACTGAACATAATAATAATAACAATTACAATAAACAATATGAGAGTAACCAACTTGACTGCGTATTTTCGGGTAACATTTGTATTCCAAGAAGACCCATCCTGAGCATAAATATCAATGACCATTCTGGTTGGATGAATCCCTCATCCGACGTTTTCTTTGCTGTTGTCGAGATTCTTTAATATCCGTTATTAGTTTTCAACACATTAGCTCTAATTGAAAAAANNATGACTGATTACAATAACAATAAAAACACTGAACATACTTTCGAGGTTCATTAAGATCCAATGAACCAGCACTTGTTTCGGGTTTCTCATCATCCGGATATATGGATGGTTGACGGAAGAATGTGCCTGGTATCAGCTCGTCTGCTTCCTTAACCAAAATTGCTCATTGTCAGTAAGAAATATAATAAAAAAGACTCGGATCAATGAAAGTGTCATAAACGGATTGAAAAGGTGATCATAAGTAGATGCACACAACTACAAACAACTCAAAATAACTGAATCTAGCACCTTTCGAACTCGTCTCCTCTCATGATTCCACCGCCTCAGATGTATCCTCATTGAATTGCATAAAGAATTGATGAAACTCTTCAGTTCCTCATCAATAAAACGCAATACTCGCTCAACATTCTCACCATTTATGTGCACTCCTTGTATTATCACCTGTAATTGTTATTCTTACTCACTATTAATATTCCATCACAAACAATAACATCAAACACTAAATTCAATTCAAAATCACTTTTGAGTTGGCAATACACTATAAAGTGTTACTGACATGGTAATTAGTGATAATCAGAAATTGATAATACACGATAATAAATATATCAATTATTATTATTATTATAATTAATAATCACTGACATGAAATGATGATAATTAGAAGCCTTTTATAAACACACACTCAAATACACATCTTTGGAATGAACGAATCACTTACCGTATCACCATCGAAGCAAATGAACGGACTATATACACACACACTCACATAGAGTTCTGCTGAGAATTGTCGTTTTGTGCCAGGAAAATTATACTATAAATAATTATTACTAATGATAACGATAATAAACAATAAAACCAATTGAGTGCTAAATGTAATCAGTATTCTTTGAGGATAACGATCGATAACACGAATGAATGAATGAATGAATGAATATCTAACCGATTTAGTGACATCCATAAGGCATTTCCTTAAGCATTCCATCAACTTTACATGTAACACACACCCGGAGGATTCATCCTGAATCGTTATTATTACTGATCGAAGTGTTATTGACAAGCAGAAAAGAGTTGATTTTGACAAATAATGATAATGTTAATTGAAACAGTAACTGTAATTAGATATATTGTAAGATGAATGGCGTAAATTGAGGCTAAAACAATGTGCACGGAAACGCGAGCATTCTGGCCAACAACGTTACAAACGTTTGATAGCCTGGTCAATCCAGATAATCCAGGCAAGATGATGACGGATTTACGGTGAGATCAACATGATTCGATGATTACATCGAAGGGTGAATATTTGAAATGAAAGAGTGTTTTTGAGTTTAGTTTGATAGAATGTAAGTAACTTTATGATTGGTTATGGATATATCGCGGGTGGGATGCGATAAGTGAGCAGTCTGATTTGATATCATATGGAATGATGAAATGAATACAATTATCAACGAACCGCAACGACCACAGACGGACTCACGTCGAGCACGAATACAAACCGATAGAGTTTCGAGAGGTAGGTGACGACCGTGTCCGAACACACCTTCAACTCTTCACCCTCTCTTATCTCCAGACCATCCTTCGCTATCATACCAACCACCTCTAGTTCATCGTTGTTCAAATCCTGAATTCGCACATCCCTTTTCAATGATTCCCTTCGTTACTTCAATGCTCTTACAAATGTCCATTCATCCATTTATTGCTTTCAATGATCCTCTTCATATGTTTACTTGTACTCCTTACTCGCAACTGTTTTATTATTTGAATACAGTATTTTATAACTTGTGGATGACTGCTTGTGAATACAATTTCGATCGTGTTCATCAAGAGATCATCGGCATCCCATAAATCCACTTATTAATCATCAATTTATTCTCATCTTTATTAACTCTACTCTAATGCAACTCTAATCACGATCAACTAAACAATGTTTGCTTAGTATAAATCAGATGT